TAAAAGATTAAAGAACTACCAGCTCGAATATGCAACGATGGCAAAAACAAGAATTTGTAGGGGGGGGGGGGGGGGCGTAATATGCACACATTTTGGTGTAGGAGAACAGGTAGCCAATTTTTCCAAATAAAGCTTAGTTTGAAGTGAGCGACCTTCATGTTTAAATATTGAGCAAAATATTAAAAGAAACCTGAAACATTTTCACCTCTATCAGAAATGGGGCTGTCGTGGCTGCGGATTGTCTATAGAGCATTATTAGCACTAGAAAACTGCGGCTGACGATAATACAAGATCAAATTGGGAGCCAACGCATTGAAATGCATAGTTTACGTAGGATCAATGAGCAGGAGGAACTGCCTCAGGTATGTTTGCTGGTGTTTCAATGAGAAGATCTACCTTTGTCACAGGCGCCTTGTGATGTTATTCTTCAGTAGTCGACTGTCCCCGTCATATTGCTTTGTCTGGCATGCCGCTGTTGGTAACTACATTCGGGAAAAAAGAAACTGCAAAGGGGATGAGCATGGCGCTTTCGCCCTTGTGAAGAAAGGATGTTATGGGGCCACTGAGAAATGGGAAGAGGTCGATGGCCGAGGGGTGGCGACCTGTGCTCCCGCAAAAAACGCGAATGAGAGTGCCGTCATTCCACTTTCTAAAGAGGCACCTCTGATTGGTACGGATTCTGGAGGAGGGCTTGTTGGGCTGCCGGATAGGTACACACAGGTTTGCACGACCATTACCTTGCAATAGTGACCGGGTAGAAACGCAATGATCCTTCACTTCTGCCATGCACAAGCGGTACAGTAAGAATCATCATCCCTCCGACACAACGCAGTAAAGACCTGATTATTAACAAGGGAGTGTTGACCTGAACTGCAGCAGAATGTGACAGTCGCAAAAGTAGGGGCATCCTGGCCAACACCGCAAACGACTGTGGCTATCCTCGAGACATAAGGCCCATAATTCGGCAGAGACACTTCTAATCTGCATGGAGCATTGTAGTCACGACGCAGAGGTTCTGACGATAAAACCAAACGCGACGTTTATATGGTGGCGGTACAATGCTCAAGTAAAAAAAAAATCGTCTTAGCAAAGACAAAACAAAGGCACTGGCCCGAGGACTGCCGCGCCTTTGTTTGCCTCTGTTTAAGCCCGTGGCATTTCCCCACCTCCTGCAACAGCATCACCTTGATGCTAACCCAAGCGCTACGGTAATGATGAACAACAAAAAATTTGTCAAGTCCCACGTATCTTAGAAATTGATGTTGCGCGAAGCACGCGGAGAAGGTATAAATGTAGTGTAATCTTTTAAGTGAGCGAAACGTCAAGAAATGGCGCTAAGGCATGCACAAATATTGTACGAACAGACATATGGTAAACAGTTGCATATCTACTCTCGCGTAACGATTCCAACAGCAACATAGGTATAAGCAACATAAGAAGTGGTAAGCTGATATCTTGCACTTTTGCCAGAGAGGATGGTGGCCCTGAACAATGCTACATAAATGAGCTTTAGAGGATGGCGCTTCCCTACGATTGTCAATAACCCGACGAGAAGCCGCAATGATGGGAGTAGGTATGTACTAGTTATAATTTTCGATAGCTTGAACTTCCACTACAATGGACGTTTAACGAGCATTACAGTCTATTCCAAAAGTGGTTCCCAGACCTGGCATGGCTTTGTGGTAGAATAGGTGATTGCCATGCAGAATGCTGGGGCTGGATTCATGCTGGGACCATGATATTTATTCTATGCATTCGTTAGGTCAACGCTGGTGATGCCAGCTTTTAGGGGCAATTCTCCTTAGGGCCGATCTGGTTGGCGTTCACCACGCCCCATAAAATCCAAACTAAAACCCAACACCTGCACAACAAAAACAAAAACATGTGTAATCATGCATGAACATGCATGATCACCCGCGCCATTCATCTGTTTATCCAACCATCCTCCTCTCGACCTGTCTGTCCGTCCGTGCATTTGTCCACCCGTCCGTGCATTCGTCCACCCTTTATACTAGTCGGTGAGTAACGTATACAATATTGACCTTATAACCTATAGCTGCAACGACTCGTCGTCATTCACTTTCTGAAGATGCACTAAACGCTCTCGAATAATTATTACCAATGTTTGTTTACACCAATCCTTGGTTGACATAAAGTGTAATTCACATGCAGTGCATTGCGCCTAACTACAGTTGATCTTAACTAGACGTGGTGGCTGTATCATAGGAGTACGTGTGTAATGTTTATTAAATTGGGTAGCCATCACTGAAGACACTTCAAGAACAGTTCGGTCTTTTCGAAAAGGAGTTGCGAGACCAGGCGTAGCTCTGTAGTAGAATATTTGGCTGCCACTTAAAATTCTGGGGTTCGATCCTTCTTGGAACATTGACATTTTAGAGGCGAAGCTCCTTATGGTCTAGGGCGACCCCGCGTCTATCCGGCGGCGTAGCCAGTCCAGCATGTTTTTACAGACAGACAGATGGACGGACGGACGCTACGCCTCACTCATGATAAGTCACTGCACGTATATGCCGCGATTTTTTTTTTTACTTTCTTCCGGTCAACGCCACCAATGTCAACTTTGCCTTAGCACTCACGCGCTAAAATACCCGTGTGTATTCTCACCGTTCCTGTATAGATGCGGAGTGTCAATCACCAGAGGCGCATACCCGCATACGAGTGGCACATAACCGCTCGCGGGTATGTGCCACTGTCTAATGGAAAGGGTTGGACGACGTACGCGACAGTATTGTCACATTATTCATGTCATGATCACCGAGTCGTATTCGTCAAACGATCTTACCTTACCCTCCCATAATAATTTTGATTTGCCCCAAGTTAAAGGGGTGATGACGAGTGCACCCAGACGTACAAAGATAGATAGACACATGCCGACAGTGCTTGCAGTACGCAAGCAAATGCTTCGCATTTACACTTTATGTTCCGAAAACAATGAATATCCTGTTTTAACCGTACTACGTGCACAGATACAGCACTCTGGTCGCGGCTCTGATCGTCGTGGTGGTTAACATTCTGTCCGGAAGGGCCTCGTAGTTAACTGCGCTCACTCGTCTTAGGACCTTGCAAGTTTCCAACTGCCTACCAAAAGGCTTTTCAGAAAGACCTTTGCTGCAAACAACGGTTTAAACCAACACTTGGTCACCCGGTTGGTAGTCGACTTGTCTGTAGCAGACCTTGTAGCACAATCTGTCGATGCCCTATTCGTTAATGACGTTTACATGAGCGAGATTGCGTGCTTCTTCGGCTCCTTGCACGGAACACTCGGTACCTTCTTCAAGATTGTCTACATCGCGTGGAGTATTGTATCCAACATTGTCTCGACATCACGACCATACAGAGGGTAAAACTGCGTGAAGCGAGTGGTCTCTTGCATAGCGGCATTATACGCGAATGTTGCGCAAGACCGTACCTCATCCCACGTCTTGTGCTGTACGTCTGTGTACATAGCCACATATCAGTCATCGTTATGTTCAGCCTTTCGGTCAGTCCATTTGTCAGTGGTTGCGATGCATCATGTAACAACTTGACTGAACGACGTGTTAAGGAGCCGCGCCGTAATCGTTGTTCCTTGGTCTGGGATGACGCAGGATGGAGCGCCGTGGTGCTGGGAAACGCTCTCCACAAAAAGCTGAACAACTTCAGAAGCTGTGCATTTTGGAATTGCCTTTATTTCGGTGCAGTGGGTGAAATAATGCGCAGCAATGATTATCGACTTGTTTTATGAATACGACTAGGGAAAAGAACACAAGAGGTCCATGCTGACCTGATCAAGGTCTGGGTGCAAGGGTGATCGAGGAAGGGTGTTTTGGGTGGCTCAATAGGGTGAAGTAATTCCGCAGGCTTAACAGATGGGGACTTTCAGCGCTGACACTCCTGGTAGGTAGGCTTGAACGTATTGCTTAACGCAAGCGGCAAGTTTCGGCCAGTAGTAAAACTCGAGTTTCTCACTGAGAGTTCGGGTGGTGCCCAGGTGGTGACATCCAGTATCGTAGTGCTCAGGCAAACAAAATTTCGTGATGAATCCCAGCTGGGACGACCAATAGTGAAGTGTTGTGGCTGGCAGCCGCATTTTTTTCTGCGACATGTGCTGTCGCGGACAAAACGATGACAATGTGCAAGCTATGTGTGAGGCAGAGACAGGTTGCCGCCCTCTAGATGTTAAAATATAGGTCACAATTCATCATCTACTCACTGCCCTGTAGCTATGTCTGTTGTGCTTACGGCTCTACGCAAAGGGCAGTAGTCTTGAGGTTTTAAATGACAGGCTCCAGTGCCACGCGTCACAACGCGTCTGCATCTTCGTGCGCATGACCTGACTTAATCACGATAGTGACGTCGTACGTCTTAAATAGTAGGTGGCACTGGTATAGTCATTCGGAAGGGTATCTTAGTTTCACCAGCCAGCACAGTGAGTGACGATTAGTCACTACTCTGAATGGGTGGCTGTAAGGGTAAGGTCGAAGCTTAGCAAGTGTCGATACAACAGCAAGACACCACTTCTCCGCGGTATTGTAGTTGCACCCCAGGCGTGAGTTGGTGCGACTAACGTAAACGATAACGCTTTCGACTACATCCTGCCGCTGTATGAGTAGTGCGCCCAAACCGATGTTATTGTCGTATTTATCAACTTCTGTTTCGGCTTCATCATCGAAGTGTCTAAAAACAGAGGGCGATGCCCAGAGATGCCGCAGCTCGGTGAATGTTCTGTCTTGTTCTGAGCTCCTAACGAACGGTGTGTCGTCTGTGGTGAGTCGACCAAGTGGTTCGGCAATTGGCAAAAAGAATGGCCTATAAAGCGCCGGTAGTATGCACATAGTCCTAAAACCATCGCACAATTCAATTACCCTGCCAGCGGGAAAGGGAGCAATACGAAGCGCGTGCGTATTGCTTCAATTGCATTCAGTTGAAGACAAAATCCGGGAACACTTGAACTATGTCTAACCACACTAAAGAGACTAACACAAAATGCTCGAGCATACCTTAAACATCGTCGCGGGGGCTGGGAAGCCCATGTCTACACCGGTTGCGTGATCCCGTGACGGAGAACACAGCAGCGATGCCGCTTCAGTCATGGCATAGACGTTCGCAAGCACCTCCAGTCCCTCCCCGAAGGCTTCTTGAACAGCCTTGTATTGAGATGGAGAGAGCACCATACCTCCTGTACACACACGTCGTAGTCCTCCGAGCCGTATTCCGGTGCTCTGCATTTCACTCACGATTGTCCGGAGGTGCCAAGGCAACAAAATAGCTCCCGTTACCTGCATGGTACATAGGGATATATTAGTAGTACCGTTAGTTGTCGCGCAGGAGGTCGGCCTTTTGTGTATCATAGGCCAAATAACGCTGTAGTTTGAGCTCTTGATGATAAGTGGTTTTTGATTGCGAAAGGCCCAGGTGTGCAAAAATAGCGGTATCTGGGGATTTACGTTCCAAAGCTACAATATTATTAACAGAGACGTGTAGTGGAGCGCTCCGAAAATTTCGACTATCTGATGTTCTTTAGCGTGCACTGATATTGCACAGTAAATGGGCCTCCACCATTTCGCCTCCATCAAAATGTGACCACCATGGCTAAAATAAAACCCACGACCTTTGGGTCAGCATTCGAGTACCGTAATTGCTTTTCCACCGACGTGAACAGGTGTGCAAGAAGATGCGTTATTACAAATAGTGTGGTGTATACGACCACTAATGGTTTAAATTTAGGTAACATATGTAGGCAAAGTGGCCTTAGAACACATGCTGTTTGGAAGCGTAGAATATGCATATACCATGAATTTATGACCGAGACATGTAGAGTTATGTATGGTAGTTCCGTCAACGTCAAGTGAGAGTGATGCTAAAATACAAGAATGTGAAAATAACACGTTTATGCTATGAAGGTCAATGAGCTTCGAAGTGTTGAAGAGTGCTTTCTAAAAGCTTGAATTGAACTCAAACACGCACCACACACACACACACACACACACACACACACACACACACACACACACAGGCATGAAACACGCACAGCACACGCTTCCAACACATTTATTCATAGCGCACAAGCTCGATTATATACATGTCGCACATGCGCCCTTGAACATCAGAGAAGGCCAACAGCACACAATATAGGCATTCAATTTTCCCTCTCACAGCCAAGAGCTAATAAACTGGGATTCACCGGGAAACAAAGATAGTGAAGAGGCGCTTACACAGTTATTCTTTCAGATTCGAAGAAGCTTTTTGGCTAGCCTGTGTAACGCTGCGCTTCCATGTGAACGCGCCGCCCACAGCAGCTGTTGGCGCGGTGCCAAGTAGGTCACAATGCTGCTGCGCGTTGAGGTCACGCTCCCCTCGCAGTGCGCGCTGACGTCACTCTCGCTCGCTTGCTGCGTGCTCTTCGTGGCCCCCCGCAGCTGCCGCCTTGGTTGTTCGCCCGCAACACCTGCCGCGACCACCGCTCGCTTCTTCACCGACTCGTCTGTTCACGCGCAATAAACCTGACTCACGCAGAACTTACGCGTTAAAACATGTCTGTACGTTATACCTACAAGACCTACGCCATTAGTCCCCTCAAACGAATCTTCCAACGCTCTCCGCAGCACACGTGTTGGCGCTGTTCAACCGATGACGCCACCTGTCCGCAATGCTGCTGCTTCGCATCCGATCAAGGTTCCCGTCGGGGAGGGGGTCCAAGTTTTTTTTTTATGAAAAAAGTCTTCAAGATTTTAGGTGTTGTTTTTCTTGAACTTCTGCCAAAAATTGTTGTCTCAGAGATTCATGCATCGCAGCCACACAACATAGAAAGCGCAATGAGGTGCGCATACTTGCCATCTCGTTTTGTTAATTTTTGACGTGCTCCTTCCGGGGACCATGTACACGATACCCTTATCCTGCGGCAAGGTGTACATCGGTAAAACAGAAATATGTGCGAATTACGGAATATGGAAGCACGCCCAAAAATTACCAAAACGAGACTACAAGTATGCGCACCTTGTTGCGGATGCCTCTAACAAAAAGATTTGTGTGGCTGTAACGCACGAATCTCTTACACAGGAATTAGCAGCAGAAGTTGAAGAAAAAAACAGGAGGCGGGGTGTTTTCATAGAAAAAAAATAAGGACTACTGAATAAGCGTCTCTTCCCTAGTTTTGTTTCCAAGGGAATGCCAGTTTATCAGTTCTAGGCCGTGAGAGGGAAACTTTTATGTCTTGATAGCGTGTGCTGTTTGCCTTCTCTGATGTTATTGCGTGCATGTGCGACATGTATATAATCTGGCCTGTGTGCTATGAATAAATTAGTTGGAAGTGTGCCCTGTGCGTGTTTCATGCCTGCGTGTGTGGGTCGCGTGTTTGCGTTCAATTTAAGCTTTTAGAAAGAATCTACGAAACAGCCCAACAAGTTTTTTAGAAATGTTTTCTACTGTGACTACCGAAGCAGCATCTGAAAAAAGGTCATAGAACGATCGTCAGAAAATATCACATGAAAATTGGGTACGTCTTGGAAAACGAAAAAAAATCATTGGTACCTAAAAAAAGAGGTTCTCGCCAATGAATATCGACGGTGAAGTAGAACACACGTAAGCTCAAACAGGGCTCTATTTTAAATAGCATATGGTTCATCGCATTGGATTAGTACATCAGACAAGCTAGGCATCTCCTCATGTTTTCCCCTATACGTTGATCATCACTGAACAGAAGGTGCTTGGGCGTACTAACTGTGTGGCTCATCGTATGATAAGTCTGCTTTGTGGGACTTCTGTAAGTTGTGGCATTGATATCGATAGCCAACTGCCTCTATATTCCCAATACTTATTCGTGTTACCTTTGCATTTGCGCGCATATGGGGCTAGCCGACCACTACGCCAGAAAAATTGCCTATTGTGACCTCATAACAGGTACAGAACAGTACAGTTACAAGACTGACAAACGTTACTTTAATGAACAGGCATGCTACCAGCAACCACTCCGGTCGTCGACAATGATGAAAAAGCGTGAATTCATGGTGCATGGTCACATCGTGCACCTTTCCTTGCGGAATACGTCGATGGATTTCGTGTAGATCAGCTATACATCACCAAGCTAACGCCTACTTCCTCAAATCTGCAAGAACGTTCTGTTGTTCTTTTTACGCCAATTTTCGTAACCGCTTTGTTGCGGGGAATATAGTGGTATCTAACCCATTCGCATTGTTATATTTTTAGCGCTGTTTGTTTTCACTATGATGAGTAGCGTGCAAGATAAAGCATTAACAAAAATAACTTAGAACTATGTGCTGCAAGTCATATCCACTCTTTCTAATCTAGCGAATGCTGTTGCTTTGTATGGCCCTACGGGAAAGAATGCAATGGCAGACTAAATTTTAAAAGAAAAACTCCTCCGCAAAAATAAAATGACTTTTTTAACTGTCCATGAACGAAGTCGTTATGACCCTTAATCACATAGGATATTCCACTGATATTTCCTTGGACAATCTTGGGGTACTACCGATGTCTCAACATAGACCAATGTGGCGTTTCTGCCAATTTCAGGATTATATTTGAGAGCGTACGCGCCGCACGCAGGCAAAAAATAAAAGTCAAAATAATACAGCCTATAAATAATTTCACAGAAGCGATTAATCTACCTTATGTATAATCGCCTTTTGCAAAAAAATTCTCAATACGCTACAATGTACTCTATTTCTCCTACGTGCTAAAAAGTGAAAGTTTTGAAGCTACCATCAAAACTACCATATAAAAACACGATGCCCTAAAAAAGTCGCAACTTTACCGCAAAGCGAAGCAATGAACACGATATCGAGAAATTGCACGATCACGTGCAACATAGAAAGCAAATCAAAACGTGCCCCGCGTTTCTCACGCACAAGAGACGCAAGAAACGCATTAACAGGTATACAGATGCACGCGAATAAGCGTCTAAGTTGTTACTTCTGTGTCTGCAAAGCGCGCGCTTTTCGCCAACGAATATTGCAGTGATTGCGGCGACATTTGTGCGCCCAGTAACTACAACGAAATCGTTCCACGCAAAGCCCAATGCCCAAGGCGATGCTTCTAAACAGATCCGCGTGTGCTGGACAATTATTACACGTCAAATTTTGCGGGGGGTCACTGGCAAATAAAAAAAAACTACAGCCCGATTTGCAAGTAGAGTTAAAAGAGGGCCACGTTTTCCGTTAATGGGTTCCACTCTGTTAAATGGGTGCCTTTTTCTTTCGTTTCATGGAAGTAGCGCTGCTTTTCATTGCACCACCATTTTAAAAACTCTAGAAGACGTAGTGATATAATCGCAACCGCACCGCGACATAGTTTCACTGCTCATTAGAAGCGTTTTACACACGAACGTGAAAGCTTAATATGTCATTTTAACTCAGCACAACACTACGAGGTGGAGGTAAATGATGCCGTACATGACTTCGTCTCATAATTATCATGTTTGGATGTGTCCTTTACCTTCGTTATCCATTCACGTCGCGTGATACAAAATTTATTATATATGGAGCTAGCGAAACGACCGCGAGCACGCTATGAGCGTGGTATGTAATCATGTTCCTACATGACATGCGCGTCAGGATTATCATGTTTGCACCAGTGATATATTTCTGCATCCATTGACGTCACTTTACACCATATTTTGGTATATGTAGAGCTAGCAAAACGGCCGCGAGCGCATCATGCGTGTGGCATGTAGCATTGTTACATGACATGCATGTCGTGATTATCATGTTTGTATGTGTCATTTACCTATGTCGTCCATTCGCGTCACGTAATACCAAGTTTGGTATATGTGAAGCTAGGTTCAATGTGAAGTCATGTTCTTACATGACACGCATATCAAGATTTTCATGTCATGGCTAGTCAAATATGTTCTACATACAGTCAGGTTACGCCATGCCAACTTTGGTATCGATACTATCATCTAAACGGCCAGGAGAGCTGAAAGTGACAGATAGACAGACAGACAGATAGATACGCTCAAAGTTTCCGAAGTTCGCTAAGCAATGCTTTGAATTTTAAAAAATCGCAGCATATTCATGGAGTGGATGATGTTGAGTAAGGCGAACCTTCGCGGTTTCTCAGCTTGAGATCTGCGTGTCGTTGTACGCGTTTCCCCGCCGCCTCTCAGGCTCTCAACTCCGGATCCGCTTGCCTTTGTGGACGTTTCGCAGAGGGCGAGTGCACACCGCGCTCGCTTTCAGAGCCATCCACTCCACCGCCTTGTCTTCGCTTTTTACGAGGTGCACAAGCGCAGCGACTGCCGCAAAGAGGAAGTGCGCCAAGAGCGAACGCACGCAAGAGCGCGAAACCCAAGGGCATGCGTCCCTAACGCATCGGAGGGAAGAGAGCGCCCCTAGCGTCATCTAATCGGCGATTTTAGTAATAAATGAAGGGATGGATGGATGGATGGACGCATGAATCGATATGGCTGTACCCTGTAGATTGGGCGGTGGCTCACGCCACCAAGCGGTAACACTTAGTGAACCAAAAACTAGATTTTTTTCCCTTTAAATAGTGCTGTTGAGGACTCGTACTTTGCAGTGAAGGGTTTAATTTTCACTCGTGCCTTGGCTTAAGCCCCCAATCAGATAACCTCCTTCTAGTTAATTCTACCCGCTTAAAGTCTATTTTGCCCTCCCTGTCCCTAAACCCCAGTGCTTTGAAAACTCTTCGCCATCATCCTGAACTCCAATGGATGGATGGATTGATATGGCTGTACCCTTTAGACCAGGCGGTGGCTAACGCCACCAAGCCGTAGTACTTAGTGAACCAAAAACCAGATTTTTTTTCTTTAAATAGCGAGTTTGAACACTCGTAATAGTGAAGGGTTGAATTTTCACTCTTACCTTCACTTTAGCCACCAATCAGATAACCTTCTTCTAGTTCATTCTACCCACTTAAAGCCTATTTTGCCCTCCCTGTCCCTAAACCCCAGTGCTTTGAAAACCTCTGCGCCATCATCCCTAACTATAGGGTGAAGCCCTTTACAGAACATTATCAAGTGTTCGGCAGTTTCCTCTTCTTCTCCACACGCACTGCATACCGTGTCTACACGTTCGTATTTGGCCCGATATGTCTTGGTTGGCAATACTCCCGTCCCGGCCTCAAATAGTAGAGAACTACCCCGAGTATTATCATAGATCCTTTCCTTGGCAATTCCCTGCTTAAAAGTTCGATAGATCTCTAGTGTGGACTTCTTAATCATGCCAATTCTCCGCATATTGGTTTCAGCTTCCTTCACCTTCCTAACCGATAATTCTTTTTCGTTTGGCCCCCTGCTGTCTTCTAAGTATTTACTAGTCAATTTTCTGGTTCGCTTCCTCCATTTTGTATCGACATTCTTCATGTACAAGTAGCTGAATACCTTCCTAGCCCAACGCTCCTCCCCCATTTCTCTCAATCGCTTCTCAAATTTTATCTAGCTGCTAGCTTCCCTGCCCTCAAATGATTGATTGATTGATTTGTGGGGTTTAACGTCCCAAAACCACCATAAGATTATGAGAGACGCCGTAGTGGAGGGCTCCGGAAATTTCGACCACCTTGGGTTCTTTAACGTGCCCCCAAATCTGAGCACACGGGCCTATGACATTTCCGCCTCCATCGGAAATGCAGCCGCCGCAGCCGGGAATCGAACCCGCGACCTGCGGGTCAGCAGCCGAGTACCTTAGCCACTAGACCACCGCGGCGGGGCTGCCCTCAAATGATGTACATCCATATCACCATGTACTCCCCGATTTGGTGTATTCCCGTGAGCTCCTAAGGCAAGCCTACCCATTCCACGTTGCTTAATTTCTAATCTTACTTGAACTTCTGATCTCATGCACAAGACCGCATTGCCCAACGTCAGACCAGGAACCATGACCCCTTTCCATATTCCTCTCACAACATCATACCTATTGTAATTTCACAGTGCCTTGTTTGTCATCACCGCTGCATTCCTGTTACCTTTAGTCGACACGTATATTTCGTGTCCCCTTAGGTACTCGGCCCCTTTGATTATCCATACGCCCAGATATTTGTATTTATCAGTTATCTCTAGTGTGACCTCCTGTATTCTAAGCTCACTACCTTCATTGTCATTAAAAATCATGACTGCTGATTTTTACTTACTGAATATGAAGTCTAACCTATCTCCCTCATTACCACAGATGCCCACCCATCTCAGCAAATCTTCCTTGTTGTCAGCCATTAGCACTATGCCCCGCCGCGGTGGTCTAGTGGCTAAGGTACTCGGCTGCTGACCCGCAGGTCGTGGGTTCAAATCCCGGCTGCGGCGGCTGCATTTCTGATGGAGGCGGAAATGTAGGCCCGTGTGCTCAGATTTGGGTGCACGTTAAAGAACCCCAGGTGGTCGAAATTTCCGGAGCCCTCCACTACGGCGTCTCTCATAATCATATGGTGGTTTTGGGACGTTAAACCCCACAAATCAATCAATCAGCCATTAGCACTATATCATCTGCGTACATCAATGCTGGTAGTGTCTGTTCAATAAGTTTTCCTTGTTTGACGAAAGAGGTTGAAGCCTAGTCTACTTCCTTCTAATTTGGCCTCTAATCCTTGTAGGTACATCATGAATAATAAAGGTGACAGGGGGCACCCCTGTCTAAGCCCCCGTTTTACCTCTACAGGGTTGGATACCCGTTTTTCCCACTTTATAACTACATTGCTACCTTTATAGATATCCTATGAAATATTTGTGACTACCTCTTCGAATCCGCAGTATATGTGCCCTCTTGCGGTAGCCGGGCGCACGAGGTGTAGCACATTGGTTTTGCTGAGGAGCGCTGCGATGGGATGGCCCGAGATAAACATACTGCGCACCCGCCATCTTGGAGCCCACAAACAAAATCCACTTACAAGGGGTCACGCTTGTAGCTCATGTCAAGGCAGCGTAGTTTCCGCAAAAACCAGCCATAGTGGACGCTCTCGTCACGGAGTAGCATGATGTTGCTGCCACTATAAGCTCCTTACTCACTCCACAAGCCGAAGGAGGCAAATAAGGTGCCATCACTTAAGCCTACGCGACGACTACCACCTCTTTCATCGCTACTGACAGCAAGACTTCTATCCACAACTTTAACATAGGCTTTATCCCACCGCAAGCGAACCACATCCACCTCGTCGCCAGGAAGTTTATTTCATCTGGGCAGCGACTCATTCGGGCCTTGCCGGAACACAGGCGCTCACGATGCTCCCCGAGAAATAGCACACCGGGTGCGTCACACATCGTCAGAGCAGCTACCATCCCGACAAACTCAGCAGGCTAATGACGAAGAGCCTCGGTGAGGCCACACGAAGAATGGGCACATAGGTTGAAATTCTGCTGCACTACCTTAAAGCTAGAATAGATTACACACTTCCTAACACGCCGCTAAGTAAACACCATTCATTATTATGGTGACAATTACAAACTCGAACATACCCTACACCCAGGCACTAGCCGCATATGCCGAGACGTTTACACACCCCAATGCAAGGCTTGCAGAGCGGCTCACGCCAACCTCGACCAGATTCTCCGAGCGTGTCGCGCAGTGACATCCAACATAAAGCAGTCATGCCAGGGTTGTGGGAGGCTGTGTTGCTCTGCGCGTTCCCGGATGACCAGTTCTGCGCGGTCCGTTTGTCTGAAGACGTCGCCAAGACCTAAGGTCTGGCCATCGTATGACGAAGGGGGACCCCTGTGGGGCTAGTCTCCCAACCCCCTCCTCCAGCAAGAACGTAGAATAAAGTTTTGCCCCTCTCCCTTTCTTTCAGACCCTTTGATAGAAACTGATGTTTGGCAAGCGCCACAGTTCAGATAGTTTCCGCGCAATGCCCTACTACTTAGGATTTGTGAAATTGGCTACTATTCGGTACAATACTGTCACAAGTTTCGTAAAAGCCGCCCATTCACAGTAGGCTAAGCGTTGAGCGGTATATATAGGCCGTGAGCATCGAGGCTCGCCGGGAAATTGGTCGGCTTTTACTTTTTTTCTTTCTACGTTCCCTTCAACTAGAGAAACTCAAAGGGTTACAGTAATATCGCGACCATTCGCAACGTTTAAAAATGACCACAAACGCGTGACAACAAGCTGAGGCGTCTGCTGTTTGAAGCAATCATCTCAATAGAGCTTCCAGTCGGTACCGCTCAACGGCGCTACGGAACATGTAAGTTGCGAATAAAATCTGTAAGGTGTTCAAGACTTTCAGATGCTAAGGAAATGTACACGTGACTACTAATATGCTGAACGAACCAACTTTAGCGGCAACGGGCTATAAAATACAATGAATGCATCCCCTCTTGCTGATGAGCAGTCGTTGGCTCAGATTTTGAACACATTACATACAACGAACATACTTCACATAGTTTGTGGAGTTTGTTGCATTGGTAATCGAGAATAATCGGTTAGGCTGCCCACGCGGCGACGCTTGAACACGTTGTGGGCGTGTGTTGTAGTAGCTAAACTTCAATAAGCATTTTGTGCCCATTTGCCCACTTTAGAAAAACGCGCCCATTTGTCCACTTTAGAAAGATGGCCACTTTGAGTAACCCTTGTTTTAAGTGATTTTATTGACGTTAAGGGGGCATATAGTAGCCCTAGCTGGGAAAACACAGACCAGAAAAAGAAAGTAGGCGGAAGCAGAAAAGTAGGGTTAGAGCGCCCGACGTTTCTGCTCCTTCCTACTTCTTTTCTGTGATCTGTGCTTTCCAAGTTTGTGCTATACTGGGTACCCAATGGCTACTTTATCTGCAATACGAGCATTGGTGGCAGCACCTGTTGGTGCCTGTTGATGGTACCAGATCATGTTCCAACTATAAGTGAGAAATATGTGCAGGCGACATTCGATGCTCATACTCATCGCTTCATCTGCCATTGTACTTCTGTCATAACAAGTGTTACAAAATGTAAACGAATTTCAGTCCATCAGTACGAGATAATGTGATACTGCTTTTTCTATACCTGGTGCTGCTCCACCACCTTAGCCATATCAGGAAGGCTCAAGTTTGGCGGGATAATGACGCACGTTGTACCCAGAAGCACGCCGATCGTAATGAAGACTAGCCCACTTCCATGTGTTATCGGAGTCGGCAGGGCGATCACGTCATGCTCGTCCCACGGACAGGTCCACCTGGGATAGCAAAGAGCGGCGCACTCTGTAGCCCTGCTTTGGTGAGATAAAAGAACAGCATCGTAGCATTCAACGAAAAATATGCTTCGCACTATTTTAAAGACATGTTGCAAGGTTTGAATGAAAAAGAGAAACACAGGGCTTCTCATTCGTAACTTCACGTCACGTCTTTCAAGTAGCTATGCGTGAACAGGCTCAACATGATGTATCCTGTGCTATTCCGCAATATTTATTTATGAAGCCATTGAGAAATGCTACGGCATCTTCCACTAAAGGCATGTGTGGATGTGCTGAGGCAGGGGGGGGGGGGGGTGAATGGCACCCACATAAACTCGTCTACGCCTCCTGAAGCAGGTGCACCACAATTCAGAACCTCTTCCAGACTAATGCGGCTGGAGACCATCGCTTGATGCCGGCGACGGCCGCAAAAAAAAAACATGACTATAGCAGTTCTAAACGGCCGGTCTCTCAAGGCATACGCCAGAGATATCGAACGGGATCCCGTGTTAACCAAAGACGCACTCTGTCTCACGGAAACGTGGAGCGCCGCAAGACTGACGATCAACGGCTACTAAGTGATCGCGTGTACTGAGGAAGCAACTCGTGTCCTTCGCAGCCGACTCGGGAGAGGGAGGTAGGAGCATAGGAAAGGAAAAAGAGAAAGGATGCGCATTTCTAATGGGGGAGCGGACGTGTGAGGGAAGGATAGACGCAATCCTGAGCAAAGGCAGCTTAGCATCTAAAAAAAACTATCCCATTGAGAGCAATACGAGTTCGAACTCGCGAGCGCGTGGCTCATAGCCTCAAAACCGAGATAGTGTGATACGTGGATGGCGCTGCCAAAGATGAGGGGAAAGGAGGGACACTCTTTCGTTTACTGTCGGCAGTCCCAATTCGCTAGTGTTGCCGCAAAACGACTGCTGAGTGCGTGTCATCAACCACGAGCAATGATAACGCAATTAAGAACAATTTCCACGAAAACAAAATAAAAGTAGGAGAGGCATATGAAAATCTACAGTCAGTATCGCATAGTTATAATACAAGTATGGCCTGTTCATGATGGCACGGTTCGTTACGTGCGATACCTCAGCTGCTACATACCCTGATGAGTCACTGCGTCAGGCTGGGCTCATTGAAGTCAATTTATATCACTGATAACGGTCACTGACAAGCACCCTCTGTGCAGCAACGATATCGAGGCTTGAGTGCCAACAGCCAGCGGTGGCGCGGAACCCGCTCCACTTCTTTCGACAGTGGCAAATCAGCTAATGTAGGATTCGAGGCTATTCCACACGCGCTCGCGTGTTCGGACTCGTATTGCTCACGATAGTACAATTACCATTTCCACCAAACTGCCCAAGATAGATTAATAAAGAGAGCGTAAAATATCATGTCATCAATTTTAAAAGCTTATGGCCGCTTCTAGAATATAGATTATGAAACGCTTGATATATAATGCTAAGAGCTTCTAACGGCGGCACTTTTTCAGGCCAGAGAAAGTGAGTGGCCGCAAGTGTTTGATCTGCCATTTATCATCTAGTACTGGCGAACTAAACTTCAACATTTAGCACTTCATAACACTCAGCATGTGAGCGCGACCACATAACACCAACATGTCTTACGTACAGAGGTAGGTTTTGTTGCGAGCTTTCTGATTGTTCTGCAATTCAAAAATAGGTTTTCGAGGTACGAGGGCAGAATGTTTGTTTTGACGAGCAATAGTGGGCAATTGTGTTTAGCACAGTCATCTGTGTGTGCCAGGGCAAAGCCTAGACACAAGATAATAGCTGGCAATAATGTAGTCCCTCAATAGTTGCTAGAGGGGAATCTGGCACTACCGTTTATGCGAATATCTTAAAAGAAACACCAAAGTGGAACACCACACGTGACGTCATGAATTTCAAAGTAGACTTAACCTTTCTTTACGCTGGCTCGATGAAATTTGTCGAAACATGGTATGCTAAGTCTCTGGCTCCAACAGCAGACAATGTACTTCATTTTTATGAAGAGCTACTTAGTCTTAGCAAAATGCGTCAGAACTCATGACAACACGGTGTTTGGTGCAGGAATTTCAATGTAGCATCGTCCCCTCCCTTATCTTTTTTGTATGTTTTCTCGCTTACTAGTGCCTTTTCGCGACGAGCGTGATGGTTTTAGAATTCCAGTAGAGTAATTCACTAATAAGACAAAGACTTTATTGATCTTGAGTGTCCCTTTAAAAGGAGTCATCGGAAAGATAGGAATGGCGGTATCGTCTCTGCGAGGCTCGAGTACACCGATGTCAAGTGAGCCTTTCAATAAAAATCGATTACGGCTACAAATAAAGCTTCTCTGAAACAGAGCTTTTTTATAGGGGCTTCAATCACGCGTATTAAACTCTAAAATAAAACCCCACACACGTTTACGGCATAACTAAACGGCGCAAAAAAAAAAAGCAGACAACGAACAGTGGCCGAGTGAACGCTGGCATTGGCTGCCTTCCAAGTTGTGTGGCCGTTCATTAGTTTTTACGTTTCGTCAAATGCTACCTAGACGCACAAGTCTTGCAACGCTGGGAAAACGAAAACATTTTTTTGCACGAACATAAAAAAGCAATGCTCCTCAATTTAGTACGAAATCGCCATATTCACACAAGGAACGCGCTGCAGCACCACGCGTGTTCGAGACGTCCAGGCTATACGTCAACGATACAAATCTGAGTCGAGTCTGAATCTCGCATGTCCCAGTACAACCATGCGTACGATAAAGCCTCAGAATATATGTTTGAAAGTACCATCTCTCAGCTGAGTCACCATGCCACGAGCCCTCCTCTGCCAATGAGGATTATAGAGAACCCCTTATTACAGAAAGCAGCAACACTCCTCAACTTCGACACTTTCCTCCTCAATTTTATTTCCTCTCCCAACAGGACAGGCTCCCTCTATCAAGAAGCCAAGCCTTATTTCGCATACAGCCGTGCCTCCTGCATATTCTTCCAAGGGTTGGTTCTTAATTGAGCCGCTGCACCACGCACCATGCTCTCGCGACTCTGGGACTGTGACCCGGGAGAGGCGTCCAAGCCATTCCTCCATTTATTTTCGTGTGCTTTCTCTTTTTACAAAAGACAAACAAATTCAGTGCACGCTTCAGCATTCGGCTTCTCTTAACCAACAACACAGGCTAATACAAGAACATTTCAGCCTATCTCTGCCACCGGTGTTAGGATACTCCGCACGTTAGGAGTACACGCGTGTCATTAAACAGCTATATAAACAACCATTCCTCACATTTGCCGTTTCTTTTTGTACATTCACCTATGCGCATAAAACGTCCACATATGTTCACCGAGTACTACATTTGTCCACCTCGTAACTTTACTCTCATTTTAATTGTGCCACATAGAAAACGTCTCGAGGAATGCTTCACATATATTTCCTGCCCACGATACGCGCAATCTGCAGAATTTTGTTTGTTGTTATTGTTCGAACTTTTTTGCAGCAAAGCGAGTTTTCATCCACCCACCGCATTAACTTTTTTTTTAGAGATTAATATGAAGATGAAACTTAGATACTGCATTCAGAGTTGAAGAAATCTTTATGGATCGTTTATGCCACGAATGAGGCTATCAATAAGTGTTTTGAATGATTTGGTTGCGTTTCATGCGATTTTGAAATTCATGGAGCATAAATGTTAATACTATATTCGTCCGGGCTATTCGCACTGTAGATAGTTCCAGCTACAGATTGCTCTTAAATACGAGTTGATGTTTTGTAAGTTGATAGTGCATTTACTTTCCAAAAGTAAGACAGCAACGGGCAGACAAAATCATCGAACTATCCTTCCTGGTTTTCTCACAATCACATAGAATGATGAAAAGGTATCAGACTATGACCCCGAGAACGTCTTAAGCTAAAAACTACATTATAAACACGATCGATGCGAGATATATTATTAGTGTAGCCGGCAGACCAACGGTAAACGTACTTACAAAGGAGAAACTTTGTTAATCGGACCCCTATTTGTTTATTTACCACCGTCTCTGACGCAATGAAGGCGGTCATACCTTGACATTCCAATGTTGGCCAGAAAACCGTAGTGCGTAATTTGAACACCCTTGGGAAGACCAGTGGTACCTGAGGTGTATACAATAGCCAAGATAGATTCATGCGGGTCATCCACGGCTACTTCCTGGAATTCACTTTCTGCCATGTCGGCAAATGGTGCCATCGAAATAAATCCTTCAGTGGACCGCGTTGTGAAAAGGCCCTGGAGACAACAAGAATATTTTGTGAACATTTGTACCGTTAGCTCCTTCCAGAAGGTACTTCCCCGAAAACAACATTTCCAATTTCTATTAAAGGCGCCACGTACGAAAACACTGTATGAATATTGAGCTAAAGGTATAGTGAATTTTCAAGCTCAGGTACAGTGCAAAACATGGCACAGAAGCGTGATCTCCCACGCAGTGGCCATTTTTAGATGTCATTATGAGAAGCTGATCGAAAGCAATTAGTTAACCAACCGGGAGCTCTAACTCAATTAACTGCTGCATTCATAGCTGCAAACACGTTTAATTCCCTCACTCTTATTACAGCGTATCCGCGATTTAGGATTACAGCATCCAACTCGACATGGACGATGATGCACTCCTACGCTGCTCTACTTCCGTGTCATGTCTTGGCTACGGAATCTTGATTATCACTTGCTGCCATATACATGCATTTTTCTACCAAATTACCTTTAGTCCAAGCTCGGACGATGCCCTCCGTGCTTTTTCTGAAAGCTCGGGTTCCACAAGAAGGTGCGTGCTGTCGCTGTCTGTGATCTGGTACCGTAGTTCTCCTGCACATTTAAAATAATTTGCAGATGGGATCGAATTGCAATTTAATGTATTTATCTTTTAGGGACAACAGCTACAAAGTATGTGCAAGATCTCGCACTGGGAACAAATTGGGGCGCTTGTTGATCGGCTAGACTACTGACAACCCGCGGGTAAAAAAAAAAGAAAAGTATATGATTACAATCACACCATAGGAAAACAAATAGTGCCCCTCCCTTCCTGAACTTTATTCCTATTCTGTTTTGTCCGATGCTTACAGGGTACTAGAACATTTCGTGGTTTTTTGGCTTAGAACAAGGTTCGGCAATTCTTTCAAGCAGAGGGACAAATTTGCATGTATACGACGCACGACGGCCAGTGGGGAGGGGGGTGTAGGAGGGCTTTGCAAGCAAAAACAAAGAAGTTCAGCTAATTGACAATGATTCGCCAAGCTGTACTATAGATCACGTGTTTTTCAGCATGCATATCACAAAGTTGCAATCAAAAATAGTAGGCAGCAAAAATGCCATTTTTGGTCGAAACGACCATGCCGGCTTTTATGTGAGAAGTGATAAGAGAAGCGGGAGAGTTTGGACTTCATGCCGAAGGTCGCATAATGCTGTCTTGAGGGCCATTGGTGGCCGATCCTTGGTTTAGAGGTTATGAAGCTAATTATACTACGTTTATATGTTGACCTTATTTTTTTACTTTTGGGGGGACATAATGCAAGACAGTTGCCTTGTAATGCTATTTGCGTTCCCTTCGGTATTTATTCTTCGAGTTAACTTCGTGTTCCAGGCACTGCAAGCACGCATCTGGACAAGGTAAAAACAAGCCCATGGTTGAGATATGCCTGGCCAAGTGTCACGTTAAATTGTCGCGATTGTTGTATGAATTCAACCTATTACATTTAATCAATTTTGTGGCGGTTGATATGATTTTATTTTGAGTCTAGTTATGCTTCGATATTTGATACAGTGATGTACGGAACGGCCTTCCAAGAAACAAGGTTCTAGGAACTACTGTTTTTTTTGGAAAGCACACAACCGTTCCATTCAGGATCTGTGTAAATATAACGGTTACATCTATGACGGAACGGCAGTGGGAACGGTGTTCCTTTTTACATGTTCCACGGCGTTAAACAGGCGCGCGCATGCAGTACAGGATTAATAGCCGGCGGCTTCATGCACCAGTCTATGCAGACAAAAGTTGAGAGAAGAAGAAGACTCCACTTATGCAGCTCTAATCGGTAGCACAGTCAGCGTCTGTAGAGGTCGGATAGGGTTTAAAGATGTCGAAAGGAGAGAGATGGCGTCCATGACCAAGGACATGGCAGGCGGCTTGTACAGATGGTTATTCAGCCCAATGTCACCAAGAAAGTGAAGAACCGCTTTCAAGACCTGGGTGTAGTGCCGTGCAGGGAAGAGGAGGTATAGCCACGGGCAGACAATGGCGATGGAGTGCGACGACCAAGGCATCTCATTGTGGGCGAAGCGCTGGGCAAACACAACTGGTGCTCGATAATTTCATCTGCCCCACACGCAGTGCACGCAGAGGATGAAGCTCTGCCAAGCCGATGACTCCGGGCCGCAGACCAGGAGCAGCCAATGCGTAAGTGAAGTAGAAGGGTCCTCTCCCTCCTGGCGAAAGCCCGGTCAGGCAGCTGGGTTAGTGGCTCCGTCCCGACCACGCGATCGTCAGGGTGGCAGCGTAGCAACAGCCTCCTCAATCTGAGCCTCCGAAAGTGTGAGGCGACTATGGCACGGCACACAGAAAAGGCGGAGTGATGCTTCTTTTGGCGGCTAGTTTTTTTTGGCCCGCTAGTTTCTCTAGATTACCACATGAGATAGGACCCAGAACAAAGTAACCTCGATTGATGTGGGGTTTTAACATTCCAAAACTATCATGATTATGAGAAACGCCCTATAGTACAGGGCTCCGGAAAATTCGACCACCTCCGATTATTTCATGATCATCATCATCATCATCATCATCATCATCGTGACAACGTTCACTGCAGGACAAATGGCTCTCCCATGTTCCACCAGTCAACTCGGTCCTGTTCTTGCTGATGACATTTTATACTCTCTAACTTTCTGTCTCTACCGAACCAGCTTGCCTTCTCTGGGAGAGAAGAAGACAAGATTAAGAGACCAGAAGAAAGCAGGGTGGGTCAGGGAACAAACCGTCGTTACGGATATCAAGAAGAGGAAATGGACATGGGCCGGACATGTCATGCGCAGGCAGGATAACCGCTGGTCATGAAGGGTAACGGCTTCTTTAACGTGTGCCTAAATCGGAGCCTACGGGCATATATCATTTTCGCTTCTATCGAAAATGCAGCCGCCGCAGCCGGAATTTGATGCCGTGACCTGTGGATCAGCAGCCGAGTAACTTTGCCACTAGATTACAACGGCGGGGCTGCAGAGAAACATTGACGCCACCGGCAAGAAGGGCATATTGCTCAATATTCAGCGTTCATACTTGTGCGACGGTCAATTGAAAACCAATTATTGCGCATATCTTAGGCACCATAACAACTCGTATATATTATGTATGCGAGTCTCTTACTAGAAAAGACATCCATGCGTAATTTTAAGGACCGTAGCGTCGTATGCGACCCCTTCCTCAAAAAAAGATAAGTACCGGCTTGAAATGGTGCAAAACGCGCTATACGCTTCATTTTCAACAAATATCGGACCACCGACTCACCAACTTCTCTAATGCTGGCGAATAGCATTTCCACCATGGAAGATAGACGAAAAATCAATAGGCTGAAACTGCTGTTTGCTCTTTTTACTGGTTCCACAATGGTAAATGCATCGGTATACATTCAGCCATTTCAATCGCGCCGCACGAGACGTCGGCACACGCACAATTTGCTTCTGTATCGAGCCCACACAAACATGTTCAAGACTTCGTTTTTCGCACGTACAGTATCGGAATGGAATTCACTGCCTGAAGTAGTTTTCACATCTCTGCCTATTTGACATTTTGAGCGTGCCATATTGCCTGTACTGTAGTCTGTACTCGACTTGCTTTACTGTTTATCGTAATTGTGAATGTATAATATGGAGATAGACCCATCTCCGTTGTTCTGAAGTTCGTATTAACCTGTGTTTAAGCTCATCTATATATCTCTGTATATAGTACTTATCTTCTGTATTTTGTGCACATCATTCATCTATCACGCTTACGTGTGTTTTCCACTTAATTTTTGTGCCTCTCCTGCTTAGTCTTTTCAAGACCGCAGTATGTTGTTTATCCCGCTCCGCTGACCATGAAACGCTTGCACGAAAAGGCAAGGGTTTCCAACGCTTTGCTAAGAGGACACAGTGGTGGCACCTACCCGTCGCCTTGCGTTCGACACCTTATCACCTCTGAGAGAGGCGCACGCCCGTCTTAGAGCCCCACTTGTGCTTGGTTTTCCAAGATAACTGCCCGATAGCGCTCGTGTCTCACGTGTTACGTGACTTGATGCGGTCGTTCGCCTCCGCTGCACGCTCGAGGCACTCTAACGCAGCGCCTCCAGAATACCATTCACCAGTTTTCTAGCGCAGAACACCAAATAAACGTTTCGTTCACTCTCTCTCTCTCTCTCTCTCTCTCTATAGATGCAAGACTATCGTCTTTTGACAAGATTTGCAGTGTAATATTCATACACGGGGCCACTTTTTGTCACGCTTTCTTCAAGTAAAAGTCATGTATATCACTGGCCAAAACTAAATTGTACCAGGTCCTCGCTCTTGGACATTTTTCACACTGCCGCAGCTTTTCCTATTAGCGCACTGACTCAAAAGCATATGCAAGTGCATTAAGAACTTAATAGTTACAGGTTCTCTATAAAAATCTAACGATTGATTCATACGTGGGGTTTAACATCCGAAAACTACCATACGATTGTGAGAGATGCCGTAAGGAAGGGCTTCGGAAATTTCGACCTCCTGCGGTTCTTCAACTTCTAAAACGGGCTCTCGCTGATCCAGCCACGAAACGCATCTTATGGGCTCCTGGCCATCAGGAATAACGAGGTAATGAGGCCGCTGACGCTGCCGCCCGAGCGCTTACCCACCGGGCACCTCACCTTGGCTCTTATGACGCGGAGGCCAATACACCACTGCTGCGGTTCAAAGAAATTCTGACCTATTATCGCGACACTCACCGCCTTTACCCGGCTCCTACAATGGGGGCTGAGTAAGGCGGAAGAGTGAACTCTAAGGCGCCTGCAGACAGATACTCTACTCTGTCCTGCAATCCTAAAACATTTCGATGCGAACACAGATGGGCGGTGCCAACACTGTGGGAAGACGTGTGATATCTTCCACATGGTATGGGCATGTCCGAAAAATCCCCACCTACCCCTTTCCCCTACCCCTACCCGAGAGGCATGGGAGACTGCCCTCCTCAACTGCTCATCACTAGAGTCAACGGGCTCTGGTAAGACGGGCGCAAGTAGGGGCCTCGTCATGCGGTATCCCGGACTAAGGACGCCGACCATGTAGCGGGGTCATGCTTTGGCCCCGTACCTTTCTCTTTTATAATAAATGTTTTCATCATCATCATCAACGTGCACCCAAATCTGAGCACACGGGCCTACAGCATTTTCGCCTCCACCGAAATTGCAGCCACCGCCACCGGAATTCCATCCCGTGACATAAAACATTGGGCATTTCGGTATGTGCCCTGGGTATGGTATTGCTGTTGTATGCATTGCGACTACAAGAAGAACTAATGATAACCATTGCTGGGATTAAATGTCTCAAACAATTACATGATTATAGGAGACGTTGGTAGTGGATAGCTCCGGAAGTTTGGACATGGGCTTCTGTACCTTGAACAAAATCTAACACGGTCCTCAAGCATTTCCGCTTCCGTCGTAAATGCGGCAGCCACGGCCTGAATTCGATCCCCCGACCTGACAGTAGACCACGATAACCACCGTGCCAGTTACAAGATGAATTACTACCAACTGGTCAGTCATGACCAATTCTACTGTATGTATACCTCTGAAATAATGTTGGTATAAAGTTGTAAGCGCATTGATATAAGTGCCCCATTTCCCTGTGTCGAAGTCTCACGTCAACAGATTCCTGTCCTATAGATGCACACAACTAACGCAGTCAACTGACAATAATATGTGCCGTATGAGCTACTGGGGCCATTTAGCTATTGAAACAAACTGCACGTCATTTCAACCGTAATGCGGCACTATTTGAGTGCGCTTATCAAAAGGTATGTGCTCTCGGAAGCAACAAGTTATAGGAGCTGCCGTAACTCACTCTCGGTGAGCGATGGCTTGGCCATGGTGATGCTCGCTCCAGCAACGACACAGCTCCACATTGCCACGAAGTTGTCCACACTGTTGCCGATGTGCACACAGACGCGATCACCAGGCTGCACTCCATGCTTTTGCAAACCCGCGGCGTAGCGTCGCAGAAGACTGACAAACTCAGTTTTTGTGAGCGTGACAGAATCATCGATCTGTAAGAAACATGTCAGATACAAATTATATTTTGTGTAAATCAATATTTGAATGCAGCAATTACATTTACGGCATCATTGCTTTTATATTGTTACAAGCTCTTCTCGTTTTCCCAACGAGCTAACGAAACAAATTACTAATGAGAAAAGTTCGCCAATTTTAGAGTTTTCTTGACTCTTCTGCGTGTTCTATCAAGAAACGACATGTTTCCGTATGGCATTCAACATGGCGTTCAATTCAACCGTGCTCCTTCATAAACTCTTTTGTCTTGTTTCCTTCCATATAACGAAACTTTCATTGCGCGAATGTTGAATAAGCTGCTTTATAACCCTTGGCATACGCCAACATCAAAGTTTTTGAACTAAGAAACCAGTATGAACATTCTGTTAAGGACTTCGCGTGTAACCATATGTGCAAGAAAGAAACCAAGACACCAGAAACACCAAGTAACTACTCTGAAGGTACAACATGCTACTCTTTCCATGTTGATTTCAGAATGAATACTTACCAACTAACTCCCCTGTCTACTATTCACGATATCTACGAATAATGGGTGGTGCGCCGCACAATTTAAGATGGCACCTGAAGGAGAGTCAACCCATGCCTAAGAACAGATAAGACGTGTGAACGTACAGGCCGTGCCACTTTTACCGGTTGAAGTCATAAGCTGCTCCCAAATCTATGAGGGCAAGATATTTTCCCAAACAATGGAAGCTCGCCACCCAATTGATTGCCACAGTATGAAAGGTAATATTTCTGGTCTGTTGCCGTGTATGAGCGAAGGTTTGCGAAATCCTGTGCGTGTTACAGAAAACTGCTTGAATTAAAATTGACGTATGTGCTGAACGGTACTCCATGGTAGTATGTGCCGAGCCAGCCTGACAGATTTGTCGTAGTATTAGACTGCTAGCGAGTAACGCCATCGCCGCTTCACGGGACTAAATCTTTCACGTTGGGATGGTAGGCAAATATGTGAAGATGCCTTTAATACTTGCGCGGTGGTTACGTCCCCCGTTTGTTGCTCACAAACTTGACTATTGTTGCTCGACTGTTAGGTTACAAGCTCTCATGACCCACTGGTGTGGACAAAACCAGAACAGTTGATCTGGAGGGACTGGTACGTAAAAAGTGCTGCTGTTGTTTACATGCCGGCGCGCTTTTTTTTTTAGAGTGATGGCGTTTGATTAGGTTTCGGCGGCAATACAGTGAATGCAGTCGCAATATATGCTGGTGAGGCACGAAGCGTGCCCAGGAAGAGGAGGAGAATTGAAAGAGGAAGGACAGGGAGGTTAGCCAGTTCTCAGACCGGCTGGCTACCCTGTACTGGGGAAGGGGGTAAGGGAGATGAAAGATGAGAGAAAAGAGACGTGGAAGCTTGAGCCTATGATCGGCATGAGAGGTGTTTAGTTCTTTGGTAACTTCGTTTACCAGATGTACTGTTTTAGCGAATTTCTGGCTGTAGTTCGCAAAGCTAAGCCACGATCACTGGATCACCACAACAACTTGTTTTTTTTTTCCTGTAAAAATAATTGTGAGGGCGCCACTAAACACAACACATAAGGAGAAACAGACGAGGACAGGCGCTAACTACCAACTGGCTTTATTGAAGGGAGATCGATATTTTTATGCATGTACACCCTGCGCAGGGGCTAACAGCCAAGAAAGCTTAGACCAGGAGAGAAAGAAATTGGAATTCAGCATTGTACACTGCAGCGCAACGGTGGTTGTAGAGCGCAATTCTGAATTATAATTTCTTTCTCGCCTGGTTTGAATGTTCTTGGCTGTTGTGGCGATGCCCCTGCGCAGGGCCCTGATGCATAAAGGTGTCGATATTCCTTCAATGGCGTCAGTTCGTAGTTTGCGCCTGTGCTCCTCTGTTTCTTCGTGTGTGTTGTGCTTAGTCGCGCCCTCACAATGGTTTCTATGTCAAAGCACCAACTCACCCAACAGTCAACTCTTAGGAAGGCGATTTTTGTTTTGCTCTTAGAAGAGAATTCACTACGTTTTATAACATTGCACGACTTGTCGGAAACAGTCTTGATCCCGTAAAAAAATTGTCTTCCGGAGGTAGTTAATCTGCATACAATACGGCAACTTTTTTTTCACTATTCAGTTTCCTTCCCATGGCACATTGTACTCGATTCATTCTACCAGATGACGGAAGTTGTGCACTCAAGACAGGGACCTCGCCGCGTCTTTTTTACGTAGAGTGCAGTGAATGTTCAGAATTCTCAAGGGTGGTGCAGAGTATACATTAAATGTGTCACGCCAGTTACCACGCTGCAAAGTGAGAGATTTCGCATCTGTGTCAATAGAGCTACATAAACTGCAGTAATCGCCGTGTTAAATAAAGCTACGAGGTTAATTGTTTTGCCCAAACACATGGTATGCAAACATAGCAGAACGAAGTGTAAACAACACTGGTGCTTAATCGCATGGTGCTTAACTGTGTTGCACTTAAACAGGTGGGGCCGTACTTTACCGCTATGGTTGGTTGATAATATAACCATATCTGATTATCATTTGATGGAATAAAACACTGGGCATTCCGGAAACGATGTGCGCTGAAGATTATGCAACCCTAAAAAATTCCGCATATGGTGAAGCGAGTCGCATGCTTATTCAGATGGCAGTTCTCTTTTTATCTGTAGTTGTTGGAACAGCCAAAGACAGCACAGTGGTTTCCATTGACCTCTCGCTGGCTGACATCCAAATAAAAGAACAAAAAACCACGGTTTGACCATGCTAATTTTTTTTTGAAAACGCCTCTCATCCAATCATCAGCCACGCCTTTGTCACGAGCCAGAAAAAAGGAAAGCGCTCGTAGCCGCCAGTCCGGTCCTCCGCGCCCCTTCGAACGGTCAATAACCATGACAGCGCAAGGATGTTGACTTCACAAGGATATTGGAGGTTTGATGCACAAACGAAACAGGAAGAGCGAAAATAATAGACACGCATGTTTTCTTCGCAACGTAAAAAATACGATGGATCAACAACGCCGTTCGTAACGCACCAGTGAACTTCACTATAGTACGCACAGAACCGTGGATTGTGGCCGTCACAGCACGTTTCATCACTCTCACCATTTCGTTTCGCTGTTTGAGCTTCAGCGCCATGACATCATGTGGCGGTTCAAGTTACCTCAATAGTTACGCTAAATTCAATGCACAAGAAAAAGTATGCTTTTATTCTGGTCTCACTGAATGGTATTACACATTGTATACAATCAAAGTGACTTATGAGCGTGAAAAACATTATTGCACGATGGCAGTGAAGTGCAATTTCTTCTTGTTAAGCTTGCAGCTGATCCTTCATGCTATATCTGTCGATGCGCTCACATCCTCCTATTCTCGCCGACAAAGTAGTTTCTTTTAGCATTGCTGCTGAAAGCAATCTGAAGAATTTCTTCCGACAAACGACTTGGGCCCCTTGGCATCACTACGTCTGTGTGCGGGAAACGTTTTGCCCTCAAACCAGTCAACAACAACAAAAAAGTCGAATCACGAGTTTGACAAGTTGGTAGATGTTCATCGTAGAATATTTACAGCCGCAACGGATTTGATATGGAGGGTGAGGAACACAGCGCGGAACTCGCAACCGAAATTTTCGAACCCACCAGTATGGATTCAAAACGGGCCCCTCCACTATCACACAACTGATACAGACGATTCAAGATTTCGGTACGGAAATTTTGGTATGGAGAGAGCAGGTTGGTGTAATTTATTACACCGACCTTCTTTGGCAAAATCTATGGCTATAGCCATAGATTTTGCCAAAGCCTTCGATAAGGCGCCACACAATAAGGTAATTTACAAGCTGGAAGCAGTCGAAGTTTGTGCCATTGTAAGTGGATTAAGGCATACCTTACTAATCGCAACCAGCAGGTAAGATTGGATAGTAGTGTCTCCAACTCACTGTCCATGCTTTCAAGAGTCCTGGAGGGACCTGTCCTGGAACCACTGTTATTTTTTGTGTATATCAATGATATTTTTGCAATCAGGGAGCCAGGTGCGCAACTTAATGTAGTCGCAGATGATTTATTTTAATCTGCTGTACGAAACAAAAAGCTGAAGTAAAAATAGCAGATAATTGCAGGCGTTGAGAAAATGGTTCAAAAAATGAAATATGAAAAAAAGTATTTGAAATCTTCATACACACATTACAACGAAGTGCCATCTTTTATTTTCATGTGCTATCGGAGACAAATTTTTATTAAAGACTACTCAATTTAAATATCTACAATTAACGATAACGTTAAATTTTTCCTGGAACATGCACATTCATATGTTTGTTCAAAGGCATATGGGAGGCTATGTTTCGATGAAAAAAACTGGAAGGCGCAACAGCCGATGTAAAACTTGCTGCTTACAAAATCTTTTTGGGGCCAGTTTTTGAGTACTTGTCGGTGGTATGAAGCCCTCTTTAATATTATTTAAAGAAACAAACAAACAAAGAAAATTCAGAGGTATGTGGTACGATTTATATGATACCGGTATTCAAGGACACAGTCACTTACAGAAATGCTCCATTCTTCTGGCTTGCAATGGTTAGAAACTCGCAGGCACAAAAATTGTCTGAAGCTATTACTTCAGATAGAGAAGGGCAAACTTATTATTGGCAAAAAAGGTATACTTTACCACGACCAGGTAAACAGAATTGCAGAAGAATTTACAACAGGGCTAATGCAAGCGTACAGGACTCATACCGCCGCTTGATCTAACCTGCAGTTGTGTGTTTGCTAATGATGTTTTTTTACTTGATTATGTTACCCAACTGTAAGGACTCTCGCAAGAGAGTTGACAGTATTTCATAAATAAGAAAAATCAGCAGGTCTCGCGTACCTGGGAATCAACCTTATGCGAAGCGTGCGGAGGAAAGGTGACCATGTTGCATTTTTTATTGAGCGACGCGTCAGTAAGTGACGATAAATATATGTGCAAATGTTGCACGCACAGGTATGCGTTGAATAGTTGCAGATATTTACATAACCAGTTGTTTG